ATTTCGTTTCAGTAGTGAAAAATACTTTTCTTAATAAGTTAATTTCACATAAAGAACCGTACTTAATAGGTTGATGAAACAAATGATGATATTGTGATGCATGGGGTGTGGGATAGACTACCTCCACGTGGTGCACCCTGGGCAAAGTATACTCATACGGCAAAAAAGTCTATTAATCGGCAGTTGACTTCTGACCTCAAACTACCAAGACCCCACCATAGTTCATATTCGACTAATTCCGCAGTACTCACCTTTTTTCTACCTTTGTGTCTGTCTGTCTCTTTTACGTCTGTGAATCATTACTCTGTCCCCCTCTCAACTTTTTGCCACTTTGATGTTCCTCTTCCTTTCTGTGAAGCACGAAGTCAACTAAAGGGCTAATGATAGCTACCATAACGCCTGCCATTTTAAATAAATAAATATTGTGATGCATAGCAGGGAATCGTAATATTTCAAGATACCCAATATCAGGGCGTTGGATGTCTTACCATAAAATTGTAAGCTTATTTTAAATTGAATATGTTATTAAATTCAAATGTTGTGTCTATTAATACACCTTCATTTTGGTTCCAGTTGTAACAAACTTACATTCAGAACAGATGAAAAATTTGTGCTAAAAGTGTTTATATCAGGAAAGAAAGTTAAGATTCCTAAATTTTGAACTACTTTATAGTTTCAGGAAAAAGTGTTGGCTACACAATGACAAATAATTTTATAAATAGTCTTTGCACTCACTATTATTCTCGAATTTAATTACTTGAAAGATTCCAAAACCCATAGCCTCTTCATCAGGCTTGTTACATTAGCAAGATGGTTAAGGCGAATTCAATATTCATTCAAGTTGGAAAACATACGAGATCAATTATAAAAGGAGATATTTTAATGTATGGTTTTGCGTGCATGTGATTTTCTGAACTTGCTTCATAATCAATAATTTATCTGCAGATTTGAACAAAATCAAATCCAATTGGTTTATATATATGTATATATAAATATATATGTGTGTGTGTTTTTTAGCTTTAAGAAAGCTTCTTCTAATTTAGTTTGGTGTAAATAGAATGAAAGTAAAAAATTATATAGCAATTTAATTAAAACCAGGCCAAATTTAAATCATAACAAAATTGGCTTTTGCGCCATTTTTAAACACATTCGCGCCTAGGCGAACGCTTCTCTATGAAATGGGTGTCAATACAAAAAACGCGTTTTCCCTTACTTCTCTGAACCATTTTAACTCAACAACCGAGTCGTTTATGGAACTCATTTAGAATCTCACTTTTCTTTCTACTAGAATGCTTGAATTATCTTGTTTTAACTTAGTTTTCATGGAATTCTCTAATCTATTGACCCATTTCGTTGTTAACTCTTGAATTCTATTGGTTTCGAGGTGCTGGTTTACGATTTTTAGTTCCGAAGGATTCACTTAGATGTTTACATTAACTCAAGTTAAATTACTACTATCAAAATTTTGCTATTCTATTACTAAGCTAATTCTCAAAAGCACTAATGGAGATAATTGAGAAGAAACGTAGATAATTAGCTAAGGAGCATTACAATTTTTAAAATTAAGAAAAAGTAATCATCTAGACAGATTTTAAAATATGGGCCGAAAATGAACTTGTTGATGATCTAAGTACTTTTCAAAAATTTGTTTTAATTTTGCTGATAACTAATTTGTATGAGAGCAATATGCAATTGAACATAAATTATGATTCACAGTTTACGACCACCCAAAATAAAATTGCGTTGAAAATTTATTCCCACAACCAGACCTCCGAATCTCACGACAAAAATTTTATTTTAAGCAAACTTATCTCAATTTTATAATTAGAAATATTATTAGGATAGGCTGCTTTTAAATTAACCAATTATATGGCAAATCTATGAATTAGGAAAAAACCAGATAAGCAATCAATCTCATATTCGTTAATTCTTTGAAAGAGCTTTATGGTTAAAAGCTTAATGCATACTATTCCTGATAGTAAACTAAATTTAAAATAATAAATTTGAAATTCAATCCATTTGAAATTCATTTGATTGGAGAAAAAATAGTTAAATCAATGATGATGTTCCTGCCTAGAATGGAACAAATGATTTTGAAATTCTTTGTTGGAACCTCTACAGTTGAAAGGCAGAAACTCCAGCAAATGGTAATGAAGAGGACATCGAAGTGTCATAGTTATATTATCTATTGAATCGGGCATCATACAGTTCAAAATTGAAAATGCTCCAATTCCTCTCCTGCTTTGCTTCCAATGATTGTTCACGATGTCAAGTGCTTATTAATGGACCATTTATAAAGATGATCAATTTTGGCACTTAAATTGATTTTCCCCTCCAACGGTTGAGAAAACAAATATCATCCAATAATTTTCTCATTCAATTAATTTTAACTTCTAGACTTATAAAATTGCTCTCACACGTTTGTTAAAATTTAAATCACAATAATAATTGAATTGGCCTTGACGTTTTCCTGACTTACAGGATTGAATATTTCTCAAAGGCAGTGGCTCAGACAGCTAAAATAAACTCAGAAAAATAAATTAAATCGTCCCAATTCGCATATTTGTATTTAAAAGGCAAATTTTAGCCATAATTAATGAAAAATTGAGTTTGGAATTAGAATAGAATAGCCGAAATTTCTCACATCTATGAGTCTACTACATTGTCCACTTGAAGGACTTAGTTGGGAGCTGTGTGCTACATTTTATTTAAATGAAATGATGTAGGATTCGTTGAACTTAATCAGATTACAGACATTTTGATAAGTGCAGAAGCCACTTGTAGATTCTAGAAAAGCAAAGAGAGCTTTTTGAAGGGAAAATTTTCCACTTGATGAAAAGACTTCGGTAATCGAAGATCGCACATTATTTTATATAATTCAGATCTGTGCATGCAACCATTGGTATTTGTCAACGTATTAAGTAATATTGGATACAAACGTAAACTAGGAGTTCCTTTCTAATGGTTTAAATGAAAAGCTGATTACTAATTGCCTTACTAGATTTATTTAAACATCGTTTTCACTCTTTCGATGCTTCCAGGAAGACTTTTAAAAGTAATATTTATAACAACTTTGCCTTTTTTTAAGTTGAAATGAAAAAAGATTCTTTAACAACCTCAGTAGTATTCGAATGATCTAAGGATTGGCAATTTCTCGGAGAAATTATCAAAACTGTCCACATTAGCACCTTATTTTTTATTGTAAGTAGAGATTTGTTTCTGCTCTCTTCAAATTTATGAAATTTGTGTATGTTGGTGCGTCCTTTTGCATCAGGTCCAAACTTAGTGTTATATTAAAAATTGATGCTAACATAAATGCAAAATAAAAAAATTGGCTTTAGTTGATTGGGTCGTATGAATTGCCCATGAATGAATTTATTTTTCATCTTCTTTACAGATCGAAACTTTTATTAGTTAATAAGTGCCGAATTCTGTTTAAATTAATTCAAATATATATTCTTTCGCTCAAAATTGATAAGCATATAAATTACGGCATGGGAATGAAGGAATGAGTTAAATGCAACATTTTTTGCTATTATTATCATAATAAAAATTTGAAATTCCAAAAATTTTGCCATTTTTTAATTTATTTTTATTATAAGCTATCAAACAAATGACAGAAATGTAGTGCCAAAAATTATTTTTATTTGAAACAACAGCCCAAATTTGTCAATAGGATATTTTATTCACACTGTGTAAAAGAACCGTATTCTACATGATTGGATGAAAATTTTACGATGCTAAAAATAGTTTTATTTTTAACTTATTTATGTAATTTATATTTTTAATGAAATTAAATCAATTAAAAGAGCTTACGCCATGCCATATTCCACTGTGTATTTTTTCCAACATCTTTCATGAATTGGCATTTCTTACAGTATCGCCAGAGACCCGAGTGAACTGTGTACAGATTGGTGCCGTTCGATGGATCCAACTCTCGTTCAACTGTAAAAAGCCAAGAATCCATAGCAATGGCACAGAATAGGAGGAGAACAGCTAGTCCTCCAGAAGCCCAGCAAGACCCTAACAGGAGCCGCTTCTGGCCTACTCGTACCCCAACGCCACGTAACCCTCTGAGCAGGGGTCGGAGAACTCCAATAGGTATACCGGCTAATTGGGATAGAGTCAAAGATGAACGCGTCGCCACGTCTTCACCGTTCATAATCGGCATCTTCCGTTGTTCATCAGCATTGGCCAATGCCAATCGCCAGTATTTCCGGGATCTTTGGCAAAGTAAGAAGAAGATATTGAGGAAAGTGTTCGATAAATCGGGATCCGTTATGCCTTCAGCTCACACGTGGCGATTTTGAGTAGGTCTGATCGCTTTGGTACGCTTGCGTGCGGAAGTGCGTCCGGTCGAACTGCTCGGATTGGTTGTGGGGTGGGCGATAAGCGATGAGAGCCTGCTACTACCCGTCAGTTATCTGCTCATTGAACCGCTAGGAATTCAAATTTCCCGGGTGTTTTTAGCCTATGTGTGTGTGTGTGGAAAAACTCAGTGAATACAGCATGAGAAATCTTTGCTTTTTTGGAAAGATAACTAGCAATACAAGTTATATGAAATTTAGCTAATTGGTGTTCTCTTGAGGTATTCTTAAGCTTTAATGCGAACGGTCCATTTTTTACAGTGCCACTGAAGGTTCATGGTCACAGTAATATAACACCAATTTGGGCATGTTTTATCACAACACACAGCCGAATTTTAACGTCATTCTAAAGTGATTAATAATTAAAATGACTACCTGATGGGTAGAATATTAAAGTACCTTGTGAAGGAGAAAGATGAACAGTGACGATTGAGCAGACCTTTAATAATTAATCACAGAGAAATGTATGAGGCGAAATGTGAGGTCTCGAACTACGTTTAAACACGGTGTGTAAATAGAAGCAATTACAATTTTAAAAGACGAAGCTTTGTGCGTTTGCGGTTTATGCAATTCAATAAAATCTACGGTAAAAATTTATTGATTTCTGTGCAGTCGTGCATTCCCAATTGGTGTTGCTCAAAGGGCGAACAACCTTCAATCTGGATTTGAAATCGACTGAGTAAGCCAACTTTACGACAAAATGATCATATTCAAGATGAGGTATCACCTCTTGAACCAATTGTAATTTGGTTTAATTGCTTTGGGCAGGCGTAAATTGATGTATTTTAAAGGTTGCAATGAATTTAAACATATTTACAGCTTTTGTTTCCATTTTGAGTCGGTGTTGGTTGGATTTAATTTTACCTATTCATTGCAAATGAAGTTGCTTTGATGAAGTGTATTAGCTGCATCTAGGGAAACAATATCTAACAAAGAGGATCTAAAGTGGATCTCCCTCCTTCATTAGTTCGCATGAATACTTTGAAATCGTCAACTTGATAAAGTCAGATTAAACTTTATTCTTATTATCCCTTTAGATATTCTTATTATTATTACTATATTATTGATGATATTGAGGCAAGGATATACTCAATGAAAAGCGCAATTAAATTTGGTGCACTATTAAAGGATGTGTCTGCTGAAACTGATTCGAGATTCATTAACGTTGACCTCTGACCTGAATTAACAAAAACATTAGTTAGCACACATTAGCCAAACTGACATCTCCGAATTCCATTTTTTAATTTGAGATGGATGATGGATGCTGCGTTTCGATATTAGAATTACCAGAACACACTAACCGACATGACCTTTGTATTTATTATTACTTTCTATAGAAATCTATTCATTTCTCTTTTAATATCAATAAACACATTGTGGTAGAACGCATAGTCGTTAAAATTGCCGATCGCGAAAATAGCAAAGGTATTTTCGAAAATTTCCTTTAATATTATTCAACTTACCTCGTTTTTAATTTATTCAATCTAGTGGTTAGTAGATTTTATTCTAACACACATCGAAGTAGGCATTCAAATAATTTAAAATAAAAAATAATTGTTCCTTTGGGAAAAATAATTTTTTCAATCGATATGGCATTGAATTAACTTTCAACTTTCTTCGCCATTAGAGTTGTTAAAAATACTCACCGCTCTTATTTTAAGCTCAATTAAACACAGAACGCAGATATCTTATATAATGTATATTAATGTATAATGTTTTTCTAAAGTGTAAATTATTATTAATATTCATTTGGAAAGACCGTTTTTTTGCAGCAATTTGTGGTCTAGAATTCGGAATGAATTATTACCTCTGGCACGCAATTGGTCATCTAATAAAGTGAACTACAAAATGCAAAGATTTTTAATTACCTAAAAATAATTACTGCTTGATGTATGGCTTTCACATGCACTCCTGAAATTTTTCTAGAAGCTATCATACTGTCAAGGTTACTTTAGATAGAATGAGACCAGACATTAGAACATAAAAGTAGTACTATCTCTGGGGGAACAACAAGAGTAGAGTGTTTCCAAGTGCAAAACTATCACGTTTACGATTTAATATCAGATTTAAATAGATACAATGGTTTTATTAAAAGTTCATATTAAGTAAAAGATAAGTCACAGTGAGCCTCACCATTTTGAGATAATATTGAAAAAGCAGTGATTTAATCAAACAAAGCCAGACGTAGATCAAGAAATCTAAATTTGTGTATTTATTTTTTACAGTTTGTAATTACTTCAAGAATAATGAACTAATACATTGGTTTCCATTATCCGATCGTTTCATAATGTGATTGGTTAGAAATCGATAGGTAAATGACTGCTCATGTTTATAAGATGGAATCGGAATTGCACTTTGATGCTCGACAGAGCGTTTTTTGCCAACCTCTGAAAAAAGTAAATTTAGCCAAGGCCAACCAATTTGTTTCTAGGTTGATAACAGATATATTTATCAAATGGAAGTGATCAATCATTCGAATTAACCCACTCATCGAACGGTATTGAACATCAATAATGAGAGTTAATCATGAAAGATGGGAGATAATTCATGGAATATGGTTTCAAATAAATAGAATGTAGTTGGCAATGCTCACTATGTATGAAGTGTAACCCTGAATCCAAAATATCGGAAAAAATTAAGCAACTTTGTTTTCACGTCCCTGATTTGATTCCTCATCATCATTTTTGGATTATTTTACGGTTGCCCACAATGGAAGCTTGAATCTGTTGTTTTTTAAACTGTGGGAGGTAGAAAAAACGAAAACATGGTAATTTTATCGAATTTTAAGAATCTGAAGCACCCTGATTCTTATGGAACAATCATGGATCCTCGACTGAATAAAAGTCTTTAAATATTACTTATCATGAAGGTTTAAGTGCAGATAATTAATCATTCAGTGTTAATACGATGTTCTTAATGACCCTTTCCGATAGCCAATTTTCATCTGATCTTTGCAGATCTGATACAAATTAAACAATTCCATCAAACTACAGCAGTACATCCATAAAGAAGTATATTTTTCATTCATTTTTGCAATATTCCTTATAAGCCTGTGGGCGTTAACAATTTATTATTCACCTTGGGGCGTGTTTTGGGAACTATAGCACGAATCTACACTTTCTGAACTGTGAATTCATTACTAATCTATTCAATTTCCAGAATAACTCTAACCAATACTCAATACCATTTTCGCTATTGAGATTTCATGATTATCAATCATTTCAAACACAAGTTTACTCAATCCTTGTATAAAATCGCAGAAGGTTAGAAAATTGTGCATATAATATTTCTCTATGCAAAAAAACTTTATAATTGTTTACAAGAGGTGTGGGATAGACTTACCTCCACGTGGTGCACCCTGGGTGCAAGGCAAAAAGTCTATAAACCGGCAGTTGACTTCTCACTTCAAACTACCATGATCCCACTGTATGTCATATTCTACCACTTCTACAATAATCACCTTACCTTTCTCTGCCTTTATGTCCATCTATCTCTTTTGCATCCTCGAGTCACTCTTCTGTTCCCCCTCTCGAATTTTCCCACTTTGATGTTCCTCCCCTCTGTGAAGTCCGGAGTCAGCTAAAGGGCTAATAATAACCAATAAAACGCCTGCCATATGAAATAAATAATCGTTTACGATTCTTCCTATCAATGGTTTACGTTTGATTATTAAATTATTGAAAATTTGATATATGTGATTATTTAGGATAGAATGGAGTGTAATATCGACTGGATTTTAAGAAAAAAATACTCTTCTGAATTTGTCTTAATTTAAACAAGCTTTTAAGTACATTTATTTGTTTTGCAATAGCACTGCTAATATTTTTGGTCATTGAAAAAAGGAGATCAACAGTTTCGCAATACTTAAAAAATGGTTTCTATTTGAAGTTCAGTGCGCTAGAGCAATAGTCTACACTGACTACGTTCAAATTTTAATGATTATTGGCAGATATTAAGGTGGAAATAACATTTCTAAAATAATTAGGAAGTTTGGAAAAAAATTAACCTGCATGTTCTCCACCGCGCCAACTTTAGTATAATTACAGGTATAGTTTAAGAGCCTAATAAAATGTCTACTTTTATAGAGAAAAACTATTCGCTTAATGACAAAATATGGCATTGACATGATTCCCACAAGCTGTGCAATTGAGAGTTGCCTCGAGAATGAAAAGTCGCCTCTTTCACAGATTACTCATTGTGCTTTTCTTAGTAAGAAAGCTGGTTAGGCAGAAGATGGGAGATAATCTAGATTTCAATCTCTTGAATCTTCATAAATTGATTGCGTCTTGTTTCACAGAACACCATCCACAAGGAGGGTGAAGTTAGTTTATTCAATTGTTTTTTTTTGTCAATTTGCTATCGGTTGATATTAACTAAAAGATTTTTTAGCAAACTTTTCTTTTCAAATAAAGTACTTTTTCTCCTTTATATTCTTGGGAAATATATTGCAAAGCGTAATAGAAAAAATACTTACCGTATAAGCATTAGTCAGGTATAGTAGTTATCATTAGAACTTTAGTTGACTTTTGGCTTCACGGAGGGGAGGACCATCAAAGTCTGAAAACGTCGAGAGGGGGGGGGGTAAAAGAGTGATTCGCAGATGTAAAAGAGGCAGACAGACCGATACAAATGTAAAGGAAAGGGTGAGGTGAGTACTGTGGAAGTGGTGGAATATGAC